ATCAATGGATATATAATTAGTAACTATCCTTTTTACTTCTTTTAGTAATTAATGGTTAAAGTAATAAAAATATTGATTAATCAACAATAATAATTCTTTTTTTAATTTATGTACATAATAATAAAAGTTAAATACTAACTTTGGTTCATTAGCGTTAAAATTTTACTTAATTTTAAACATTAGATTTTTTAATACATTTTTTTGTTTTTTATTATGTTATAAGTTTATAATATCACATACTATTATAACAATAATATTTTTTAATAGTAATATAAACATCATTTTAGTTTTAACTTAAAAAAAAAAAAAGAAAAGAAAAAGAAGTAGCTGCCTACCGCTAAAGAGAAAAGTTAAAAAGCAGAAAAGTTAAAAAGCAGAAAAGTTAAAAGGAAATTCAATGATCACACAGACATAGAATCGTAAAGAGGAAATGATCTTTGATATTCGGCAATTCAATTCACGTGGCCATGTACGTACAGTCTTTATTTGATTGGTTTGGAAGCTTCAATCCTCCACTTTATGTGCATAACAGGTTAAAACATTATCTTCAGATAACTTTGTTTCTCATATTAATTTGACTTTACTCGTATTTTTCTGGCAAAGGGCCATTTCAACCCACTGTTTTAGTGGGGTTTTTGACTGTAACCTATCCAGATGTACCAACGGATAGAATCCCTCAAGAGCACATGGCGCTGTTTCTTTCATTGCCTATTTTCAAAAGAAATATGATGCTTTTTTTGAAAGCACAAAACTTTAGAACTCTTGGGGGCAACTTGGAGAGAAGGGGACAATACGAGAAAGATGTGAGTCCCCACCAGTAGCGGAAGATGCTGTTTATCCCACCCATTGTGCATATTTCAATAAAACGGTGACCATATCTATTTTTATATGTATATTTTTAATATTTATATGAATATTTTTTAATTTTTTAATTTTTAAGTTGGATGAAAAATACATATTTTTTTATAAATTGAAAGATAAAAATATACATATTATTAGAATAAATTTAACAAATTATTTAATAAAAAACTAAAGGTATATTTTTATAATTGAGAGATTAAAAAATTACATAAAAAATTAAAAGACAAAAATTACGTAAAACTTTACAGTGAAAAAACTAAAATTGATATTTAACTTTAAAAATGTTAATTTGTTAATTAATTTCTTTTTATTTATTAATTAATAAATATCAACAAAATTAAATAAAACTAATATTTTGCACTTGCAGCTTCAACTGCTTTGGTTAAGGTATATAGAACTCTTGAAAAATTTTAAAGTTCAATTCACTGCAACAGCAGTTATTATCCTCCTTCGAAATTCTTCCATGTTAAAAAAAAAAATAGAA